AGCACCCCCCACCTTTCACCTTCCATTGTTCGTCACCGTTGCAGCACCCTCTGCACTACCCTCTTGGCTCCACGCCCAACATGGGTGAACTGTTCACGCTCCCCTAAATCACAGAATCATAGAATTGTAGGGTTGGAAGGGACCCCAAGGGTTATCTAGTCCAACCCGCAGTAACGCAGGAATAAATTCGCCTCTGCTAAAAGGCTCATAGGATAACATGGTTTGGGTGGGGAACGGTTTTCATTGCCCTTCTCCTGCGCCCTTCATTTCAGCCCATTCCCACTCCATAACTCAGCCCACATATGCCCACCATCTCTTTGCTAACCTCTGGCCCTGCCTCGCTCCCCATGACAGTTCCTCCATCTTGGCACACATAGGGCAGGAATGAGTCTAGAGAGGAAGGTCCAACTCCATTCTTTGCCCACAACTGCCTTGATGATAGATGCAAGGTCAGTGAACAAAACTTTTTAAAATGTGCAACCAAAAACATAATGCAGATTTCCAAAAGTACATTTGTGTGGTTCAACAGTTCAATTCATTGTTTTGTTGTACTTTATAATGACTGATAACAATGGGGCAAGTAAGTAGTTCAGGCCCCTTTAGAACCCCAGATCCTGATCAAACCAACCTATTACTCCCTCTCCTGCCACAGACACATTGCACAGAGGATTCCATAAAACTCCACAGCATAGAGGAGTTCTATCAGAACTATCAGAGTTCTAAAGGCGGTGTGATGCTAGAAAATATCCAATACAGTCATACCTCGGGTTACGAACGCTGTGGGTTGCGTGTTTTCAGGTTGCGGACCACGCCAAACCCGGAAGTACCAGAACACGTTACTTCCGGGTTTCGGCGCTCGCGCATCCCCAGAAACACAAAATGACGTCACGCGCACGAACAGAAGTGTCAAATCGCATCACGCGCATGAGCAGACGCAGCGCCTCAGGCTGCGAACGCTGCGGGTTGCGAATGTGCCTCCTGCACGGATCATGTTCGCAACCCGAGGTATGACTGTATGACATTCTTAGGGCAAAGTTACATGAAATATTTGTGTCTAAAAGTATAATCACAACACAGCAGCTAGTATTGTACTTAAAGAAAAAAAACCTAAAGCTTTTAAAAGATTCCACTAAATACAAAAAAGACAGTACTCCAGAACAAAACTGAGTTTTAAAAGAGTAATTTCCCTCTGAATTTGTTTCTTGGAACAAAATGGAGACCATGACCTGCTAACAATCACTGAAAGCAATATTCGCAACCTGCTGCACTGAAGGGGATGAGATTGGAAGCTTCCATTTGCAGTTTGTAACAACTACATTTTTAGTATATGGACTAAATGAGAAACTGCAGTTTGTTACAAACCAGCAGTGGAAGCTTCTACTCACCTCTGGTTGGGCAGGATGAGATGAAATGGAGAGAATGCACAAACCCAAGACACAATGGGCCGTTGTTATTTCTCAGCAGACAATGTTTAAAAGCTGTTTACATTAATGGTTAAGTGCCATTCTGCAAAGAAGTAGTTGATAAATCATAGACCAAATTTATATCTCTGTCTAATTTAAATAGAAGTAAAAGATACACTTAAACTTGCAACATAAAGCTTAGATGATAATCTTTTTTTCTGGACTAGCACCTAATAAAAACCACCCTTGCAAAATTGTGGAAAAGTAAACCCCCAGTCTACCACTCTTATAAGTTTCCTGTTACAAAGCTGCATAGTTTTTACATATGTAGTACTTTGTTATTAAGAAGAATTCTTCCTCATAGCACCTTCTTTGTTGTAAGTCTGAAACATGCTTTGCCTCCAGGCTGAACTATAATAAAAGTAAAATGGATTCAGACATTTGGCTGAGAAAAGCTGGCTTTTCTATAGCCTTTCTTCCCCTTGTAACTTTTTTCTACTGTTTTAAAAATACAATTGTTTTTATTATTTCTCTTTTGTTTTGCTGGATCCATGGATTAACATAAAACAGATGTGTAATTCTGGGAGCGGTTATATATATATTTAATAGCGTAACAGTCCTTGTGATCCTTACAATGCTACTTGTGTTAAGATTTTTCAGAGGAACCATAAAAATGCTACATCCCATTCAATATTCACTTTCTGAAATAACAAAACCCCAGCTTGTCCCCTTGTTACAATGTGCCAAGGCAATGGGCAGATTAAGGGGAGAACAGAGCCCTGACACATCCAGCTGTACCTCGTATACCATGCTTTGCCTGCTATTTTATATGCATCATCTGATGCGGACCTTTAGCATGGAGTTGCCAAAGATACTTGATTGATTCTCACAATTGGCTGATCCACCGTAACATTTTACTATTATCTTGCTGTGGATCATAGTTTCATTTTTAAAAATCAACATGTGATAGAGCTACTGCCCAACACAAATTTAGCAAGTTTCAAGTCCACTCAATGATGACAAATCACCAGTATGAATCACTCATAAATCTGGGATCACTAAAGATCTCCATTGTGGTGTTGCCTGACAAATTATTTTCATCACATTAAATCCTATAGCTGGTGCAACGAAACCCGTATCGAGTGTAACATATATTATAAAAGCAAATTAATCACTAATTATGACTAAAGGAATACCTAGCCATAAGAAATGAAGTCTGCATAGCTAGAGTACAGATCCTGTATGAATATGCTGGCAGAACACAAGGAATTGGTTTAACTAATCTTTGTATGGTACTTACAACCTAGTTATTTACACCAGATGTTATACTGAGAATGTACAACAGCACAGTGCTGGTTTTTCTATTCTCCAAAATTCTTGATTTTGGCATTAAGCCTCGGTTGCAAGTTAAGAAAGCGAATGGTTACAGCAATGCCGTAACAAAAAGAGAGGCAACTTTTATGACATGTTTGGGGGAAGGGGTTATTGGCTTTCCTTTTTGTTTTGTTTTATTGTGTATTATTTATTATGCTACCTGAGCCTCCAGTGACAGAGCTGGATCCATAAGCACCCCAAATTCTGAAGCTGCTCCTCCAGATGGAGTGCAACTCCATCCAAGTTCGGCAACTGTCCAATTTCTTAGACACGGGAACCACTCCCCGACAATGCCTCTGTCTTGCCAGGATTCAATCTCAGCTTGTTTCTCCTCATCAGTTTCACTACTGCATCCAGGAAATGGTCCAGGGACGACATGGCCTCTCCTGACAGACCGCACAGGGGACCTCAGTAGCTCCGAGTACTTAGTATCGACTTTAGTTTGTGCAACAGCTACAACCATTCTTGAACAAGGATAGCTTTGCCACAGCGGTCCATACATTGCTAACCTCATGATTAGACCACCATAATGAACTGCATGTGTGGAACCCTTTTACCAGGTATGGAAGCTACAACTAAGGCAAAATTAAGCAGCAAGGCTGCCCAGCATTACTCATGTTGTGGCAAGTGTTGAAAGATCTGCAAGGGGTTCTAACTACCAAGCCGAGTTCACTGTATCGTCGTTGAAATATACAGCCGTGGACAACCTGAGACCAAGATACCTGGCAGATTGCCTCCCCCAGTACAGACCAAGGCAATGTTTAAGACCTGAGGAGACCCACTGGTTTGCCAACCAGTGGATTGTCGCTTGATGAAAACATTCTTGGTGACAGCATTCACACTCTGGAATGCTGTCCCTTGGGTAATTCACGAGACAGAGGCAGAAATTACCTTTAAATAGTCATTACAAATACATGTTTACTATGATTGTTAATTTATATATATAGTACGCTGCTCAGTTTTGTTTGTGATATGAAGTTATGTTTTCTTTTTATCCGGTTTAAGACATTTTATTGAATGCTGCTATATTTTTATGTAAACTGCTTAGAGATTTTTATTATATTAAGCAGTATAAAAAATTGTATAAACGCATAAAGTGATCATATTGATAGGCCATCCCCTCATTCCAGGTGGAGACCAGGACTTCAGCAGGACCAATGGGGCAGGGCTGTTGACCAAGTCAGCAGGGAATTATCAAAAGATGATCATCAGAAAATCATCTTAATCCATCTGCCTCCTGAGACGGACCATGTTAATGGATCTTCCACTCCTGTGCAGCTTATGCAGTCATAGAGTCAAAACTGATTAGGCCAACAGACATTTCTAGCTCACCAACAGATCATCCATTCCCAAACTCTGTACAGAAAACCATATTCAATGTGCGTCCTGCCACATGTGTTGGTCCTGACACTAATTGAGACAGCCCCATGGTTAATAACATGCCAACTATGAACTCCTGAACCAGTCCTGATTATTCTGGCACTGTTCACAAGGAGATGCGAACTTTCCTGTACATTCATTGCCTGTGACTGAAATAAGGGGCTATAATATATTTTTAAACATTTTTTATTTCATTTCAATTCTGGCTGAAACACATCAGAGACCTCTAGTGGTTAAATTTGTTAATGCACATCAGGTAAAACTAATTCATATTCTACCTTATGTAGTCAGAAGCAGGCTTCTTGCTGTACAACTAATATTAACATGAAAGGATCATATTATGGCCAAAAAACAAGTACAGGAGACTCTCCACTTTAGAAGCTCACCTTACAACTTGTGGAGGACAGACAGAATGATGGCAGGGGGACAGAGCTAGTGGACTCATCCTCACACGTTAACAATGTATCAGAAGAACTGATTCACTCTCACATATTCTAGCAAATGTGGCTGCTCTTATAGATTAAAAAAAAATTCTACCACTAAGGAAATATGACCACAAGATAGGCAAACAGCACCATCCTTTGTATGTAGTAAGGAGGCACTAGTCTCATAATTCACAGTGCAATCCTAAATAAGCCTATTCAGAAAGAAGTTCTGCTGAATTCAATGGGACTTACTCCCAGATACGTGGGGTTAGGATTGCAGCGTTAATCACTTTGTCATAAGATGTCCTTGATTCTGCCTCCTAAAACAGTCAAAATCAGGAAGAATCTACATTTTGTCAAAATTACATATGAGTTCTATAGATTACATAAAGTAGACCAATAATAATATAGAATTTACCTTTTATGCCTCCAAATGGCCCGTAAGTCATGTTGCAAGCTGTTCTCTGAAGATTGTGTTCGTACATACGCTTTAGCTGATATTGGTTCCCATGGTCAATGTTTCCCAGGCTTCCTATTAAATATAGAGAAGGTATCATATATGTAGGATTTTCCAATTCCTGTGTTAAGTAGATATTGTGCTGTGGTTATATTGCAATTGTAGACTATTGTTTTAATAATGATAATTATGTTAGGATCAAGATTCCATTGAGTTATACCTTACACCGTAAAAAATGTCATATTTGGAGCATGCCAGAATGCTATACTTATTATTTGATTTATTATCAAATGTATATCCTGCACTTGCTCCCAAAGGAGCCCAGGGCGGCAAACACAAACAATATAACAATTAAAATATATAAAAACAAATTCAATACAGATGCAGACTGGGAAAGGTCTTTACTTAAAAGGCTTCTTGGACAAGGAAGCTCTTCAGGAGAAGCCAAAAAGACAGCAGGGACAGCACCTCTCTAATATTTAACAGGATGGCATTTCAAAGAGTATATCCATATCAAATGACCTAAGCAAAGTGAGATACATTTTCCTCACACAATATGTAAATTGCAATGCCAACATTTTAATGTTAAGAAATCTCTTTCTGTTCTTCTACTCTCATTGCCACACGTCCTTTACACTCTGTCAAGACAGGAGAGCACATCTGTTTACCAGCCATTGGCATACCCATGGTGAAAATATAACCTCAACATATATTATTACTTTACTATATTCATTATTTTGGAACTCATCTGTCTGACATGAATTTATATTTTATTATAATTTTTATATATTGCGGCCTTCCACAAGACTAAGATTTCTTGTTGGTGCTGCAGTTCTCGTGGTTAAGATATATATTTGCTACTTATGGCACTGGCCTCTGCCAAATAAGGAAAGCAAACCTGGAAGCCTACAGAACCGCTAAAATACTGCCATTTACTAGCAGGTTAGTTGTTGATTTAAAACGACTTGCATGCTATTCATTGTCATAGTTACTGTTCTGTTAAAAAAAAGGACTAAGCAAATACATCCTCAAGCTTTATTCCTCATTGCCAGGACTCCCCTATTATGTTCTCCAGTTATATTCTCTTTCAGGTCTTTAAACCAAACTCCTTGGTGAGCTTGGGCCATCCTATTTATGGCCCTTTTCTAGGTATTATACCTTTCATCGCTTCAGACATGCCTCTGGAAAACTATGGTGTGCATAGGATGCTGATCACTGGGCTGCTGTCAGAGCAAACTGTATGTATTTTAATTGCTGGTTCTAAATGTGTTTTGATGTATTTTAACTATTGCTTTTACCTAGTATGTTTCTATTACTTTGTATTTATTTGACAAAAATTACTTTTCAGTAGCATAGATACAAAGAGACAAAATGGGCGAGGACCAATCCCATACTATACACCTTTTTATAATTTCAAAATTAACTTGGTATTAGCAGATCAGAATATGCAATTTTTTACTTGTACAGAGAATAGAGAAAGAGAAAAAGTTGTCACCATAATCTGAAGAGCCCCCCTTTTTTACCTGAGACAGCATATACACACAATTTTTTAGGGTGTAATACAGCCAGATGTAACAGTTCTATACCACTGCAAAGAAGGAAAAGAATAGAAAATATGAGTCAACTGTTAAGAAAAGTACATTACTCTGAGGCTAATAAACAGACATGAAAGAGTTTTCACACTCAATATTTTTGACATGTTTGTATTTGCATGTTTATGCCTGTCAAATTATTAGAAACTTTTAAAATATATACTGTCTTTACAAATATTAGGAATAAAATGCTCACTTATCCTTTTATGATATGCATGCAAGACAGTTGCCTTTCTACAAGAAGATAGAGGACACAAGGACAGCTCTACAGTATTCAAACAAGTACCCAGTTGTAGGCAGCAATGGCAAACATGCAATATTCTTTGAAAAGACTGAAAAAAGAGAGAGCTTGCTTGCAAACTGGTCTATATTAATTACATTATGCTTCCTTCGGGACTTATTTATTATTGTCATCAATTATTTTAATATTTTAACTGCCCTCCAGATGAGGGCATCTGGGAATTTTAAGTGTCATGGTTTTTCAGACAGCTGCCCTTCATCTAGATCCTGGTGTTCCAGTTGAAGTAGCTTCTGTATCTTTAAACTACCACCATTGGGTTACCTGAGAACCATCTTGCACCATAGAGGAGGATCTAGTTTAAAAAAAAAATGTTTTGTTTTTTGGTAGCCTATCTTTGGTAGCCTATTTGTAACAAAGCTATTTAAACTGCTTTATGAAGTTTGCCTCAAAAGTTGCATATACATACCATAATTAATTAAAAAGCTAAGTATTATACATGGTTCAGATAAAATGACCTTGAGGATTGGGAAAATGCCACAGAAGGACAACTCCAAAAAAATCCATATTTTGATTCTATATATATATAATTGTTCCAATATAACCCCAAGGCACTTCATAAAATAAACCAGGTCAATCCTTAGAGAGTAAATTGACTCCAATGATAAACTCAGAGTTTCCCAATTAATAAGATCATTAGCGGCAACACTGACTGTTTACTTACGAAACAAATTTTCCTACTTCCACTTGAAGTATTGGCTCAGATAACTGCACTTCCAAGAGCAAATCTTCAGCTTGCACAGCATCTCCAGGTTTTATAGGATGGGGATTGTAGATTCTAAGGAACCCTGTATAACTTCCCACAATTATTTTATCTGAAAAACAAACATATTCAATTACTAAGTGAAGCTTACACAACTGAAAATGTGGTGACTCATTTTTCCTACAGAGGATGGAACTTTAAGGTTGCAATGCAATGTATGCTTCCTTGAGAATAAGCTCTACTGAAGTCTGTGGAACTTCCATGTTAAACACGGACAGCATCAAGTTGCATTTAGAGTTCCAGAATTAAATCTCAATTCAAAGCACATCTCCTCAAAATTAAATCTTTTTAAGCTTAACAAAAAGTGTTTCCCACTAAATATGCTTGGGATTGCAGCCTCTGTGTAGAGTTTCACAATAATTTTAGTCCGTTTACCTTGTCCACTGCTGCTATTGTCAACATTTGCAACACATAAGCATCCTTGATCAAATTCTTCTTTGTTGCCCACCACTGTAGACCACCAGTCACGGGCTTTAAATAAAGACATTCTCCTTCAGCCCTAGTGAGAGGGGAGAAAACAAGGTGATGTAAAATTCAACTAATTTCACATTCCAGAGGGGCTTCAAAAGCAATTTGAGATACACTATAGATCCAGGCAGGGGGCAGGAATTAGAAGCCTGTGTGCATTCACGGGGTGAAGGAATTATAAATCATGGCCACATACAGCAAATATACACACCAAAATCTAACAATATACGCCACTAAATGCTAACAACTAGTCGCTTTATTCTTATTTATTAAATGAGAAGTTTAATGACAGTATGATCAAAGCAAACAATGGGCACTGTGCTGCCCATGGCACAGTGACCACTGCAGTTGGGTAGAATAAGCTATAATAATGTATATTTATCTCTCAAACAGACTAGTAGAACAATCTATCTTGTGCAATTGAAATTTCCTTCAAAATCACCTGGGACAAACAAACAGAAAAAGCCCAGCAGGAGCTGCTAATATTTCTATGTCATTCTTTAATCACAGTATCCATAGGGTCATGTGTGAAGCTCAATTTATGCAACAGAACTTTCCTGCCCCTCTTTCCCACTGTGGCCTTGCAAGGCTGTTCCTGAAGGTTGATGGCCACTCTGGAACAGGACTCAACATGATATAAAGGGCTGCATTTGGAAAGGCAGATCAGCAACATATTATCCAAAGGTGTGCGTTCTGCTTAAGCGCACAGCTATTTTGGAGCTTAGCATATGTACACTTGTAGGTGCTATATAATAAATAATCGCAATTCACTTTATTTCCAGTGTTCAGTCTGTGAATGCCATTACTTATGTAGCCAAAATAGTACATAAATGAAGTCACACATCCATGAGAGGGAGGAATCTGTAAGACTGGGAGAACCCCAATGTTTGCAGAAATACAAAATATTTTTACGATAAAAGATGGGGTGGGGACAAACCCACAGACAATCCAATGAGGACTGAGCCATGGGATGCTGACTGACTGACAGTGAGTAGGAGTGGAGAGGAGCATCATGGCAATGATGAAATAGGAATGAAGCGATATACAGGCAGGCATTTATTCCGCTACTTTAATCGCCTTGAATTGCGCTTATGACACAAGCTAAGGAACTGAATCCAGTCAGACACAAATAGGTTGCACTAATACCTACCTGCAGCTAACTGGAACGCAGTAAGGGAAAAGAGGCTAGAGATTCAGTAATCCTTGCCTTAGCTTAGCAACACTAGGTTACACATATTAATGCACGTATTTACAGCAATGCATGCTAAAAACACAATTTGCCAGCTTCTTCAATACTCTTATGTTTTGCATAAACATCTAAAGCACAATATACGTCCCTAGGCAAACATATCACTTGTCTCAAAAGAATGCAAAAACCTTTTAGGAAATTGCTCAGTTTTCAGTTAATGGCCTGAACATTCTGAATGAAACAGCAGTGTCCACCACATAGAGGTATTCCCTAGACCCTGGTGTTGTAGAAATAGTACACAAAGGTATATCTTCTTTCCCGTGCATGAGTTTTGTTGCCATTATGCTTATTTATCCCTGCAGCCCAACCCAAAGCATTTTTACTGAGAATTTGCACCGAGTTCCATGGGACAGATTTGCAGGAAAGTGTACACAGAACCGCAACCTTAAGGCGGCAGTCCTATGCGCTGTTACTTGCGAGCTCACCTGCACACACTGAACGGGTTGCAAGGTTGCAGCCTTTATGCACACTTCCTACCTTGGGAAGTGAGACTGGCAGCATCTCTGAGAAAAAGTGCAAAGGGCAAGGCTGTGCAATGTCTCCAGCAGCAGATCTTCTACTTTGCACAGTACAAGACACGAGATCGTGCTCATTTTATTTACTGATTGTTATTATTCATTGAATTTGTATAATGTACTGCCCTTCATCTGAAGATCTCAGGGCTGGGAATTTGTATAATGTACTGCCCTTCATCTGAAGATCTCAGGGCTGGCATAGACACAACAAGATAAAAACACAAAATACGTAACAGTAATGAAAACACGACACTCCTCCAAACACATTTGAAAGGATGTAGGGCGTTAACTTACCTGACTATTCCCAACATTGGGAAACCCTTTTCTTCTCCTCACCTGCGCCCTCCTCCCGCAGATCCACAACAGGGAGCCGGGTGCGCATTAAGGCGAGCGCCTCATCCCGAGACTCCCTCACGGGCCGCAAGAGCGCCGTTTGCCTGTCAGGGGGGCCGAGACAGGGCGCCAACGTCCTTGTCACAAGCACCCTCTCGCCGCGCTACCTTTGGGGCAGGAGGATGCTAACGGGACCCATGAGGGAGATAAGCAAAGACGCAAATAGAGAGATGGATAGGGGAGCGGGAGGGGGGGACGACCCCAAGCAGAAGCTGTTATTACAAGGAAGGAATGGGGCGGTGTCTGCTGGTATACGGGGCGCGCGGGGGAAGAACGCCTCAGGTACTCCCTAGCCAGCCCTGCCCGCCGCCATTTTTGCTCCCGTTGTCATAGCGCCTCAGCAACCAACGCCGACCCCGCCCCCTCCTGCCGTCCGAGAAAGGCGCTGAGAGAGCAAACACGGCACGGCAGCTGCCTTCTAGGAGACGCAAAGCATGCTGGGGGATGTAGTCTCTGCGAGCCTTCGGTTGGACTGTACTATTAGGAGGAGAGGAAACGCCCAGCGTCCGTCCCCGTCCCCTGTCCCGCCTAGCGGCGTAAAAGGACCAACGTCCCTCCGCAACCTCCTCTCCTAATTGCCGGCGTTTTGTCTCGAGGAGGAGAGAGAGAAAAGAGGGCCACCACCCCCGTCCCGTAAGTCGGAATGGTTTCTCCCGCCTCAACTGTCAAGAGAGAGAGCGCGTGGGGCCAACGGCCGCTCATCTCGGCGGTTGGCGGTAGCGCATGCGCGCTCGCCCGCTCTCGCCGCCGACGGAGAGGGAGAGAGAGGAAGGCGACCGGCTGAGAGGAAGACCGGCGTGAGGCAGTGCGGGGCTCTTGCCCGCCTCCGCGACCTGAACGTAAGGCTTCTTCTCCCTCTGGGTTCCCCCCTCACCCCGCGAGGCCGGAGCGTGGCGAGAGGTTTCCGCCGCCATGGACAAGAGCGCCGTGGCCAGGATGGGAGCGGTGGCCAGCGCCAGCGTGTGCGCCCTGGTCGGCGGGGTGGTCCTGGCCCAGTACATCTTCACCATAAAGAAGAAGACGGGCAGGAAGACCAAGATTATAGAGATGGTAGGAGCGCGCTGCGGAGGCGCTGTTTACTCGGGAGTAAAGCCCCGCTGCCGTTGCAGCGCTTCCAGCGGTTGCTTTTCGGTTCCCCCCCCCCTTCTCGCGGTCAAGCGGTGTATAAGTTTTCTGAAATAAACAAACAATTGGTCTCCCGTCAAACTCAATTCAGGGACACTTGCTTCTGGACTGACCATGCTTAGGCGTCAGTTTATTTGGTTAGCTGCTGGCCACATGGAAATTAGTGGAGCTTCTTGGGCCTTATTATTATTATTATTAACATTATTTATTAAATGTGCATACCGCCCTTCACCCGAAGATTTCAGGGTGGTTCACAACAGAGAAATACAAAATGAGAATGCAAAATATGTAGTAAAACCAAAACAAACCAATATGCCCCCCCCCCCGTTTAAAAAGCCATAGAATGATAATGGTTCAAAAGTATCCGGATATAACCTTTACAAGCATTTATTTGGAAGTAAGTTCCATGATCAGTGTTAGAGTTGCTTGTGAGCGAGTGTGCATAGGATCTGGCCGTAATCTTGTACTCACTTTCTTAGGGAATGCAGTTTATTGAAGCTGGCAAGGCTCGCTTCTAAGCAAAGTTGGTGGAGCCCAGCACTGTGCATGAATAATTCAAATGTACTCCTTAGTGAATGTTCATGAATTGCAGTCTCCACCTAATGTGGATTGCCCTGGGTGTCTGTATGCACATAAGACTTTCTAAGTATCCCATACAGAATTCGAGGGCAAAACATGTGCTTCCTTCACCCTGGTTTAATTCATCCACAGTTAATTAATTCTGTCCTTCAGGTTCATGGCTGTGGAAAGCTCCACCTGTAAATTTGTATTGAAAGGATTGGCAGGTGGGGGACCCATGATTTTTTTAATACTCTAAAGTAATCCAAAAGACATACATTTGCACACTTTATGGGAGCTTATATTTCTTTGAAGATTTGTGATGAGGAAGGAAAGAAAGACAGTTGTTGCAACCAAACTGCAGTTTAAAACCTACACTGGTTATGACGTCTTAATACAGTGGTACCTCGGGTTACAAAACCTCAGGTTATAGACTCCGCTAACCCAGAAGTAGTACCTCGGGTTAAGAACTTTGCCCCAGAATGAGATCAGAAATTGTGCGGCTGTGGCACGGCGGCAGCGGGAAGCCCCATTAGCTAAAGTGGTACCTCAAGTTAAGAATGGTTTCAGGTTAGGAACAGACCTCGGGAACGAATTAATTTCGTAACCAGAGATACCACTGTATATCATTTAATCACGGTGCATGTTGAAGGAGGACAGAAGGGAGAAGTAAATTGGCCCAGTAACCCCAGGGAGAGCTCAGTGATGAGAAGTAACTGCGTGTCAAACCTTTGTAGCCAAAATGGCACCGTTCTTGCAGAAGGAGGTATCAGCAGGCTCAGGGCAACCGGAGAAAAAAATGGGGGGGGGGACAGCCGTATGAGAGCAGCAGAGCCTGCATGTAGGTCCAAACCGCTAGCCAACTGGGGGGGTGTGTGTCAGAAAACCAGGGGGCATGAGGAATAGAGTAGGTTTTCCTGGAAGAAAGCATGGCAGGTTGCCTGGAACCCTGAACAGCAACAGCACTCCACACTGCCAAATTTTACTGCATGTCCTTTTTGTGTTCTCCAAATTCTACATTTATAGGGTCCTCCTTGTTCTGTAATCTCCCCCCCCCCAGATGTGAGCAGCCAATTTATGAGTGCCATTAAAGCTCCCAAACTTTCAGAGGGGTCTTGGTGAGTCCATGACTCCTAATATAGGAGGACTGAGATTCTTCTCATTGTTGAGCTCCCTTTCTTCCTCCCTCAGTCCCCATTTCTTTCTTGGCTCGCCTCTGCGTTACAGCCCAGAAAGTGTTCCCTGTCAGTTGCTGCTGTATGTCCTACACTGAGGCAATGCTTCATTTCTAAATAGCTTTTCTTTCCAAATCTATGCTATTCCTTTTGCTTCTCCCCCCTCCGTTACTGCTCTCCTGCAGAAAGGAAAAGCACCCACCCACCACTGAGAGACCCCGAGGAGATGAGGTTTAAGCTGTATCAAGCCTCTAACAAGACCTAACGCAGCCCGTCTCTGACAATATCACAAAATCCACAATTGTAGCCAAAATATAATTTGTGCATTCTATTCCTTGATGTTGTTAGATAAGTATGCTGTTACCAGTTTGATTCTACAGAAGAAAATATAATTGCAGAGGTTGAAACATCCACAGCATAGATTATAGCTTTTATTGGGTCTCCTATTTATTTGTTCTATTTGCTCTGTACCTCCTTGGTTTTCATTATTATGCAGGCATCATAATACAGTGGTACCTCAGGTTACAAACACTTCAAGTTACAAATTCTTCAGGTTACGAACTCCACTAACCCGGAAGTAGTTGCTCCAGGTTGTGAACTTTGCCCCAGGATGAGAATGGAAATCGCACACCAGCAGCATGGCAGCAGCAGGAGGCCCAATTAGCGAAAACGCACCTCAGGTTAAGAACGGTTTCGGGTTAAGAATGGACTTCTGGAACAAATTAAGTTCATAACCCGAGGTACCACTGTACTCTGGTAGTAAATTTAGGAATACCCTCAGCCTTCTTCTGTGCTTGAATTGTGTATGTACTACTTAGTTTCTAAGAGGCAAATTTCTACAGTGGTCAGAAATGGAATAATCAATAATGTATATATTACATTAGCTTATCTGTGTGTGCTTCTGAGCTTGTTTGTTTTCCCATATTAGTAGACTAGTTCCTATAGAAACAGTGATGTCATGATGGAACACAAAGAATATGCTGGCATAGGCTTGGAACAAAGTCATAATGTTAGAAAAAGAAATATACGACTTTCCTTAAAGGAATCCCAATTGTGCACTGTTCCTTAAACTTCACAATTCTTCGGGAAGTCAGTAAGTAGTAACACTGCTATTTCCAGATTGATGAAATGAGGAATAACAGTAGGAAAACATACAACTTAGTAGTATTCATGATTATTTTAGTGGGCCTTACTTCTAACTGTGACTCAGTTCAGACACCATGCCAAAGATTAGCTAGTGTTAAACATGATTTTGATCCCACGCTATAGTTTAAGATTTCAGTAAAGGTAAGGGACCCCTGGACGGTTAAGTCCAGTCAAAGACAACTATGGGATTGTGGTGCTCATCTCGCTTTCAGGCAAAGGGAACCGGCGTTTGTCCACAGACAGCTTTCTGGGTCATGTGGCCAGCATGACTAAACCGCTTCTGGAGCAACAGAACACCATGACGGAAACCAGAGTGTTTCAAACATACATTCAAATTGTGATTTGTAGCTGTTTTCGTTTTCTGTCTGTTGGCACACCGAGTGGGTGCCCTGACCCCTGATGGTGTAGCAATGTCTGTAACTTTGTTTTGTCAATTATGATGCCTCACTAGGCCATATATAAGTTTCTTAACCTTTCTCCATGTTTGAACAGCATGCTAAAACATAGTTTAATGTAATGTGAAAGAGCTAGGGTGAGTCTTGGTTCATGTGTCCCTCTCAGACAATCAGAAGGAGAACTTCAGAAGTTTTTACTTAACCATGATTTGTCATATGTAATCTGGAGCAACAAACCTTCATTTATGCAAACTTTTGTTTGTTTAAAACAAGCCAACTTTAACCATAGTTCAACATAATCCACGGTTTACAGTTTGGCTTAAACTCTAAATTGTGACTAATGAGAAAGAGAAGTAAAGCTTTTGAATCCTCATGGCAG